AGTACACAAGACAAAGAAGAATCTATCATGATACTTGCCTTGGAAGAACAGAAACATACAACATGTACTCAATACCTGTAACAAAAGATTGGGAGACATAAGTCCCAGAAAGGTGGCACAGGCACCATACTTGGACATTTCAAGAGAGGAAATAAGTACAGAGTCTATAGCGATGACTAAGAAACTGGATCTGCTCTCAAGGAGCTTGATCCAACTGGGAGATGGGACATTTACCCAACTGTCATTCAAGGTAAAAAAATAAAGAGGGCCAGAAGAGGTAACATTAAAGAACTAAAGAGGAAGAGACTAACTACTCAGAGCAGGGAAGGCTTCCTATATACAGTGACATTTGAGTCGGCTTTGAGGAACACATAAGATCAGGAGCATTAGAGACCTGTGCGAAGGATCTCCTAGACAGGAAGAAGATTATGAGTGAAGAAGGCCAGATTGTAGAAACCCTGGGCACAGGGTTGTTGAACAGTGAGCACTTACATTGATTAAAATATGGAATTTGTGCTGAATAAAAGATGAGATTAGGTGACTGGGTAAACACAAGAGCCTACCTGATGAACCTGGAATGCCATTTTGTACTCCAGTACACAGAGATCACAAAATAGCATCCCTCAAGCCCATTTTGACCCATGAAAATGTCCTTTTGGTCAGCAAAAATTTTAAGAGTTAAAGAAGTCATGTACTTTCTAGTTAGTGCTCACCTATTATAAAAGGTAAGTCAGTCTTCTTAAATAATATAGGCAGTATAGTATAGTGTTAAGCATACAAGCTCAGAAGATAGACCACATTTGTCCCAATCCTGTTTTTGCCCCTATTAGGTCTGCAACTTTAGTTATGTTACCTAAACTCTTTAAGCTTGAGTTTCATCATCTATAAAATGGAAATAGTTTCTACCTCGTGGAGTAGGATTAAACCATGTAAGCATTTAGCATTGTCCTAGGCATATGTAAGCACTTAATAAATGTTAGTTATTAAGTCACCCACATGGGCCTTGAAGGAATTTGAGTTTGCAATCCTTACTTTGGAGCTGCTAAAAAAGTTTTTGAGAAAAGATGTAACTATTTTTTATCTTTTGAGTTCTTGAATGTTAAACTAAACTCCACTTATATTGTAATGAGTAGTCCAAGAACAGTCAATGATTCTGGTAGATCCTTAGCTGCTGAAGATAGGGATTCCAGTGTTGGGCCTCAGTGTGATTCCTAGAAGTTAATCACTCACTCACTCACTCTCCCTTGGGAAGGGCCAGTGGAGAAAGAACAAGTAGCCAGCTACCCATTGATGTTTTCCAAACAGCGATTCATGTAACGGCAGTTTCCCAGGATACATACTGGACTTAAATGGTGGCCTCCTTTCAGATCATATTATTATGAGTTTTAAGAACTGTAATGTTAAGAATCCTTATGATTCCAGAAGCTTCCCTTATAATTTGTTTGTCTTTAATAGCTGAAAAATGAAAAGGGTTTAATGTAGAATTTCTGCCCCTAAAACAACAACTTGAAAATAAGAGTACAACAGTTTGGAAAACATTAAAGTGAACAAAATGAGTCAGTTGTAAAAGCACTGTGTGCTTAATGCACAAGGACTGCTAATTAAATAGCTGTCAGTGATGTTTTCTGGCACAGTCTAACACCAGCTTCTTGCAGTATAACAAATATGAAAATGCCTAGAAGTAAATAACAGTTGCTGAGTGCTGTGGGCAAACAAACCCATGCCTTATCTCTTTCAAAGGCAGCCATGGAAAATGCATGATAAATTGCATAGCTCAGTGAACATGTTATGTCATTGTGAAATGATTTTGATTCATGGTTATGCATTTATCACTAAACAATTGACAGACTTCAAGGTATCAGAAATGTTATCATTTGTGAGGTTTTGCTATTTTCTGTTGTAAAATTCAAGTGCTATAAAGTGGAGTATTTTTGCATTTAAAAGTCTGTATGGAAAGTGATATTTGCCACAAACTCTTTAGAAATAATTTTTAAATTACATGAATTCCTTCCAGAAGTAACAAAGAACGGTGCTAGAAACTAATACTTTAAATATAATGAATAATTCATATTTTACTAATATCCTTTTATGAAAATTCTTATAGTTAAAAATAGACTAAGTTATAATCCAATTTGATTTCAAAATAGAATTATAATCTCCTTTTATATAGCTTATCAATATACAGAAATTTCAGAATATTCTCTTTACAATAGCAGTAGAATTAAGAGTGAGAATTATTTTAAGGAAGATTTTACATAGGTAACTTTTATGCAGGCATAATTCATTTTCCACGATCAAGATATTATTCTATTACACTGTCCTTAACTGTTGCTGAGTCTCTGCAATTTAAGGTGTTAAAATAATTAGGTCTTATTTCCCCTGAAATTTAGTTATTTTTTACTAATTTTTCCCTCTATTGATGCTTATGATGTTTAAACACCAACACTTGATGTATAAAATATTTTCTGTTAGAGTTAAAGGCAGCAGAAAGGTAGCCTGGCAAAATGATCAACTGATACACTACTGAATCATCTTTTGTTTCTCTAAATCCCCTAAACCAAGAATCACTATTTCTCAACTATTTTTTGTATAAAATTATGCTTTTCTAATTTTTACAATCAAGTTTTTTTTTTAAATGCCTTTGGATATTCTGAATAGTGCCAGGTATTGCATAGGGAACTTAAAAATAAAACAACAACAACAACAAAAAAAAAACCTTTGCTGGTTGAGAGAAATGATCAATTATTTCTTAGGTATAGTGAAAAGGATTTTGGTATTTCCAATACATCACTATCATTTAAATCTTAAATTCATTTTGTGTTCTCTTAGTATATTTTAACCAATTGACCTTTACATATAGTTTGCATTTATTAAATTAAAATAAATTTTGTTAGCCTAGAAATATGGTTTGAAACATTCATAGTATTTTTCTTTTAGCCTTGGAATATGACAAGCCTATTCTCCAAATATTTACATCACTGGAGAATATCTATGTACTTATGCTGATTTTGACTTAACATTTTCAAAAATAATTCTGTTAAATTAAATGTAAGCTTTAAAGTATAAAAACATAGATCATGTAACTTGATACAAGTATTGCAACATAGCTTAAGCATTTTCTTAGAACATTTTTATGCCCTTTGCTTCTACCACTATGGCCACTTTCACCTTTATATTGAATGCTCCCAAAATGTATCTATATAAGGATAATTTTAAAACATGAGATTTATGTTGCTATAAAGGAAAAATCCTTTATAACCACATAAAACCGTTGTCACCAGAAATTTCAGTCGAAGTTTTACATGAAAGGGGACATATTTTATCTTTAATGCCTCGTTAAACTTTCTGGAAACGGCAATATTCTGGAATATTCTAAGTGAATGACTACATATGTCTATATTTCTTCTGAAAAGTTTAAATATCATCAGTGAAAAGAAAACTGAACAAACCATTTGTTCTAATAATTAAAGCCATAGTACTTTTACTTCTATTTAATTTTACCTTTATGCAGAGATGTTGCTTTGATATATCAACCATGTCTCATCTGTAGTTCTTTCAATGATATAGCCAAAACCAACATTCCCAGGCTAAAATGATAGCCTCATTGTTTCAAAGGTCACATTGTCTTTAAGCTCAAATTCTATGTGTGTGTTTGTGTGGTCATATGTATGTGTGCATGGGTTGAGTGTGCACACATGTTTGTGCATGTGTTTATGTATGCATTTGTGGAGGTGCATGTTTGTATGTGCACATATATTATAAGCTGCATTATGTGGTTAAGAACATGGACTTAGGAGGCAGCCTGCCTGAGTTTAAATGCCAGCCCTGCTACTTCCTAACTATATGAACTTGAGCAAGCTTTATTAACCTCTTGCTTCAGTATTCTCATCTTACGGGGTTATTGTAAGATTTAAATAAATGAATATATGTAAAGCACTTCAAATACCTAAAGCAGAGGTCCTCAAACTTTTTAAACAGGGGGCCAGTTCACTGTCCCTCAGACCATTGGAGGGCCAGACTATAGTTTTAAAAAAAACTATGAACAAATTCTTATGCACACTGCACATATCTTATTTTGAAGTAAAAAAACAAACGGGCAAAAACACCCGCATGTGCCCTGTGGGCCGTAGTTTGAGGACGCCTGACCTAAAGTATGAGCAATTACTATTACTATTATTACGTATTCATTTACTCTATTTTATTCCTAAAGAGATATTATTTATAGAAGTGCATTGGTGGATGATTATTAAACATGCATTTCACTATAATGATATTTAAGATATGCCAACGTGATCTCACTTATACACCTGGATTCTAGAAAAAAAATTAAATACATAGAAATAGTAGACTGGTAGTCACCACAGATGGGGAGGGGAGGAATTGGAGAGGTGTAGGTCAAAGGGTACAAACTTGCAGTTATGTGGGATGATTGAGGCTAGAGATCTAATGTATAGCATGAGGACTATAGTTAATAATATTGTATTATATACTGAAAGTTTGCAAAAATAGTAGAGTTTAAGTGCTTTTACCACAATAAAAAAGATAACTATATCAGGTGTCAGATACATTAATTTGCTTGACTGTAGTAATCATTTTACTATATATATAAATGTTGTACATTTTAAATATAGATGATAAAAAATAAATTTAAAAAATTAAAAAATAAAGGTATGCCAATAGAATATTTTGAATTGCAATCACTTAGATAAAGTATGTTATGTAGTACATCATTGGTAAGAAGAAACAATTGGGAAAAACCAACAAAAGTTGTATAACTTTGTGGCTCACAAGCTGCTCATTGAATATAGTGAAATTCATTCATTTATTTAAATGTAGGCTGGTTGCACATCTATATTGTACCAGGAGTTACTTAACAGTAACAAATGGTGTGTTTCCAATAACTAGGAATGTAGTCTTGCTGACTGAGGATAGATAAGGTGAATAGCAAAATAGCAATGCCATGTGAATTATGCAAACTTAAAATGAGTTTTGTTTTTCAGGGGGCGCCCAAACCAATAGCCATCGAACCATGTGCTGGGAACAGAGCTGCCGTTCTGACTGTGTTTCTTTGTCTACCAAGAGGATCATCAGGTGCCCCTCCCCCTGGGCAGTCAGGTATGGTGAATGAGGAGCCGTCAGCAGTTAAGTAAAACTTTTAGACTGGAAAGAAAAAATACCATCAAATAGCACAGGAGAGACTTTTGTAAGATTCTAATTTAGAGCATGGGAAAATTTTATTAAAATATAAATTTTTACCCAAATATATAGATATCTGCATTGCTGTAAATTCAGATTTGCTAGTATTTTTCTGATAAAACACATGTTGAATGTGTGCATTTGCATATAATATACACAGGTATGTATATTCACATACACACACCAATTCATTATTGCAATTACCGTGATAAATCTCACTAGCAGGGCAACCATGTTCTTGACCTGCCGGGCAGCTGCCTTTCTCCCAGTAGATGTGTCATACAGGAAGCCAGATTATAAATATGATTACAAGTTTGCTTTGTGAATATGGAACCAAACTAGAGGACTACTTGTATGTTTGGGATATTAAATGGCATCAGAAGATGGTCACCTGATGCAGCCATCTCAGTGCGTTTAAGATATGTCCCTGCCACCAGCACCAGACAGGTGCAGTTCATGGGCTGAGGAACCCTCTCTTAGATGGGCTCAGCCAACCTTTCTTCTAATTCTCCTTTTCCTATGTGAAAAGCATGTTTTGGATTTGGGAATAATTATGTTTCCTCTTGAGAGGTCTTCTCATTGCTGTGATGCTGTCCACATTCTAAGTATTTTCAATGTTGAGCATAACTTTTACTTAAATCACCAGCCATATTTATTTCTCTCTTTTTATATATCATATTCTATCTATTTATAATATCTAATTTTTCTGTCTTCTGATTGTTCTCTCTATCCAACCTTTAGTAGAAAGATTGCTTTTATGAGGACAAGGGTGATATCAAGTCTGTCTTTCTCTTCAATTCCTCTTAAGTATAAAATAAAGTGCCAGAGATCTGACAAGTTCTCAATAACAGTAATTGATGATGAACTCACTTCTCTGCTTATTTTATATTTTCTTGCTTCCCTAGTTGGCTTTGAATGTGCTCCTCACTTTCTTGATTTGTGTCCAATCAGATACAAAAAAATGGAAAATACACGACCTCATACCTTGTAAGCATTAGATAGTCATGTAACAGAATTTTTCCCCTATATGGGAGTTTCTGTCACCTTCAGACTCATCATTCATGGTACCTGATGATATCTTGTTGCAGGAATTTTGATTCAAAGTTCATTGTAATGTTTATTCAAAGAAATAAACATTCTCTGTACCTTCTTATACATTGAGTGAATGTCTCACTCTTCTTTCAGCATCACCGAGGTACATGGGATGCAGTAAGTAGAATAGTTTGGCACTCGTCAGATAAGATGGATAATTATAGGTACTGTGCTCAGCTAATGGAAGTATTGTTTTAAAGCTGGGATGATGTCCAAAACAAACACTTCACTAATGAAAACAAGTCTATGTGATATACACCAAGGTTCTTCTCAATCCTGACAAGATGATGTACTGATGGGCAGAATGAAGGCAACTGCCAATACTCTGTCCCTTTAACCTTTGAAATCCTTTCTGGCTGATTTGAAAGAGCCAAGGAGCATTACCTCAGCTGTGTTTTCTCACAGCTGCATTGTTATTACTAAAGCTAATGCTATCTTAGATATGCATAGTGCTCCACTCTTTATAAAGTGTTCCCCTATTTCTCACATTTGATCCTCAGGACAAGGTTGTATAATAGGTATTATAAAACTCACTTTATAAATGAAATGAATGAGGCATAAAAAACACTGTATTTCTACACTCAAGGAATAACTGTGAAGGGGGACCCTAGAGTGTAGGGCAAAAGAACAAAAAATATGTATCGCTAGCATTCCAGGTAAGTTTTCCTGATGATCTGTAGCAGAGAGCTTACTTCTTTATAACCAACAGCACATGTCTTCACAAAGCCAAGCATTTGGTTGAGTACTAAAAATGTCTACAGGGTTGATATAGGTAGATGAAACATTGAAATAGCTTACCATACATTTTACAGAGCCTGAAGATTAAACTATGATGAGTATCTGTGTGCATAATTCAAGATGAGCTTGTTCTTTGTTTTCAAAAACTCTATTACTTTTTTTCAGCTATTCTTACAGGAGTAAGAAATCTGTTTGCTTATACTTCTTCAATATACAGTATTATCTCCTACCTGCATGTACTTTGAAATGTATCAAGGACATATGATATGTTGATGGAAGGATAGTAAGATGGCTAGATGGACAGATAATGTCATAAAGCAAGTAAAGTAAAATATTAATGGTAGAATCTAGATGCTGAGAATACTAGTGTTCATTATGAAATTCTTTGAACTTTGCTATGTTTAAATTTTTAATAATAAAGTGTTGGGAAACAATAAAATGAAAAGCTCTCCACTTCACTGCAAAAAAGGAAAAAGAAAAAAGCAGTATCTGTAGAGAGAAAATTTCTAATGTTATCATCTAGGTTTTCCCTGAACAAGGCAAATACTGACACCAATATGCAAATAAAATTACTATTTTTTCACTCTTCATCAAAACATTTGATGTGTGCACAGCCAATTAAAATTTAACATAGTATCCTCTAGTATTTGAGAGGAAATGCATTGCAATGATTATTTGGGAACCAACCATTCCTTTGGGAGGGAAATATTGAAATTGGTTGCGACATTGCTAGAGTTTGGCTTACCTTTACAGAAAGTCCACATATATACTTTTGCTTATCACAGTGCCTACAAATAGAAAGGAGTTCATAAATGCTTTTGTGATATTGATAATGATGATAGGAGACCTGGAAAATATGACCTGGAACTGGTACTCCCTTCTTTGAGCCTCAGTTAACTTCAATAAAATGAGCAAATAGACTAGAATTCATTCATTATTTCCCAGATTCCTCTCCTAGGAGTCCTATGTTCCATGGAGCATGCGCGAGTATTTGCTGCAGGTGGGAGGTTGGGGTAGTTGAGGAGGACCTGGAGGAGGAGCTTCATGGGCAGACTCCTGAGCCCACCTCCACCGTGTGCATGACAGGGCACCAGGAGTCTCTCTTGGTTCTTGGGCTATTTATGGCTCCAAATGTTAGTATATCTGTGTAGTGATTAAATTAGCACTTATCATTAGACTAAAAGTCCTCTTGCAATACTTTGAACAATATCAAAAATTTTTTATCATGCTCTTTTTTGAAATGTAGCTTCCTGAATGTCAATGTCATCTGCACTCTTCACTGGCATGAATAAAAGCATTTAAGAGAAGGATGAGTTTGGGGATGTGAGGATGGCGGGGTGGAAGCATCTTATGAGCATGGTGGTTTTCTCTCAGAAACTGAATATCAGCACTAAAAAATGATTCAGAAATGTGCAGGTGCTAGTTTGGCTATCTCTTTTCAATAGCAGCGAGTGATTTTTTTAAAAAAAATTAAGAAATGGCATTGTCTTTGGACCTTATTCTCTTTCTACCAGCAACTGCTTCAATAATATTTAGAAAGAAATTATTACACCTGGCCATTTCAGTGTCTGTCTGAAATATGTGAACTCTCTTCCTTATGGCTCTCTTTTTATCGGAGGTCATAAGAAAAACTGCAGATTCATCCCTTAGATTACCCGTGTGCTAACCTTTTTTGTTTTTTAATATAATGACCTTAGGTGCTTGTGGCAATTCTCCCTGTAGGTGGCTTAGAATAGTAAGGCAAAAGATATTAAATGGCTTTTTAGCATTCCTACAGCTGGACTAATTAGGTTCTCTGCTCCCCCACCCAGTAAACCTGCTGCTTCACTGCTGTATTTTCTGTAAGCAACCACTGCAAACCATGCCAGACTTTCTTGGGTTAATGTGGGATTTATGCTGTTGTTTATGCATATGTTCACTCTACAGCCTCTTTCTCTTCTGACCTCAGAGTGGTTGAAAGATTGACATCCCCATGAAAGCAGGACACATTAAGTAACTCTGCTGCATGACACTAAACAACCAAGCATGTCTCCAATCACCCTGGACAGCATGGTCCCCAAGTGTTTTAGAGTCACATTAAGATGAAATGTGGACAAAGTAAACAGAGCTCTTCAAAAGCATAAATTGAAAATGGTAATGATTGCTGTCACTTTATGATGGAAGATTATGGATTTCATAGTTTATGGATTCTTCCTAATGAGAAACAGATTAACTTTTATCACTGGATTAAAAAATCCCAGTAGCCCAAATATTCATGGCTGAAAAGAAGCCGTGTGCTTCAACTAAAAGTAGTATTTTGCCATGATCCTGCCTTATATATGATTGACTCTAACATAATAAAAAAATAATACTACTGGAAAGTCAAACATTTTGAAATTTTCTGTTAGCATGAGAAATTTTGGCAGGATGATCAGATTATTTTGAAAAATCTAGAAATACTGTACAATGTTTAAAATAATAGTTTCCTCACAGTGTTATGGATGCCTTTCCTGTTTATAATAACAAAAAGAGGACTTTGTGTTAATCAAATGAAAAGAGGAAGGGAAAGAAAAACAGGAATTCTGGGCCTTGTATTAGGTACTTTATTTGTATTCATTGGTTTAACCCTCTTAATGACTCTGTGAAGATGATTATCCCACTCATACTGATTAAAAAACTGCAACTCTAGAGAGATTAAATGACTTACCCAAGATCAATGAACTGAATGCAATAAGTGCAGAAAGCAACAGAGTTCACGCCCAGGGCCACTGGATCTTCAGCCTGTGTGACTCTCCCACATCACAGTGCTTCTGTGGATAAAGATACACGGGTATCCCAGTTAGCTCTTATTCCTAAAAAAGCTCTAAATCCAGGGTCAAAGAGAGTCTCTGCTAAGCACCGGCTTAAGAAGGCAAGGAGAATTTTGTTAATATCTTTCCTGGTAACTTAACTTCAGAAATTTAGTAAAATGCAAATATGTGCATGCCATGACACATATGTAATGACAGTATGACTCAGTGTATGTAATAGAAACAAGGGGCATGCAGTCATAGGGAAAGAACGTAAGTGTGAACTATGGACTTGGAGTCACAAGCTCTGAGATGTAGACTCAGCTCTGCCACTAACTGGCTGTGTGACCATGGCAAGTGTTTTAGTCTCTGGGTCCTATTTTCTCACATGAAAATGATTGGATTGGGTTAGATTGCTGAGATGCATTTCACTCTAATCCCACTATACAGTTCTACTACAAATTATGCTAAATCATACCAGTAACTTGCTACTAACTGGTACATTAACTTATCTTCCCAGCTGCTCAGGAGCATCTGGCAAATTTTGTTTTCGTATGTATTGCTTGTTAGTGACTACAAAATAATTAGCATCACTCCTTAAATTAAAAAAAAATCTTAATAATTGTGTTAATGAAATCCAGTTTCTAATCTTCTTAGCAAGTTTGAACGATGTAGATGTAGTGCCCCTATTTTAGAAGTGAGTAAAAGGAATCTCATACAACCAACGAGAGGAAGAACATTTCTCAGGATCTCAGAGATAGTTTGGGAATAGACTTGAGGTCTGCTGGCTCACAGTGTAGTACTTTTTCCTCTGAAGCCAATTTTTTAAAAGAAATTTCCATTTTCCAGAAGCCTCTGGAGTTTCCATCCCTACCGACTCTTGGGTTTTCCTCTCATAACTCTGCCACTGTATCTTTATACTTTTAGAAATATATCTGGTGATACAATCTTAGCACTTTCTTTGTAAGAGGTGGTTGAAATAAGAAATATAACTACTGAAGTGTATCAAAACTTCATTATAAAAATCTGGAATATTTTAGTTACCCTTTAACCTCAAATCCAAATATTGCTTACAGCTGTATATGTGTCTTCATAAAGAAGAAAGAAAAAATGGGCACTTCATAGTAAAACAAACTATAAAATTAGGCAGAGAGCCCAGGAAACAACAGAGATAAAAACAAATGTCTGAGATTATTTTTAATAAATATGACTATGTCCAAAAATACCTGACAGTAAAAAGATCCTAAAATCAACAATAGGAAATAATTTTGTCTTTCATCCAAAATATGGTTATTGTGAATCCTCATTTGCTACCTTCATTCATTTAAGAAATATTTAAGTGCCTGCTACATGCCAGCACTGGATCTATGAGAGTGATCGAAACAGAGTTCCTGTCCTCACAGAGGTTACAGCGTATGTGGAGATAAACACGAAGCAAATAAGCATACAATAAACCCATAATTACAAGCTGTGGTTAAGTTCTATGAACAAAGAACAGAGAGGTGAAATAAAATAGAGGAACAACTGCTAAGCTTAATATTTTTCCACAGTAGTCATAGAGTAACAAACATAGTCATTAAAATGCCCTTTCCTCAGTTCTCACTTGCTGTCATGTCTTTGTAGTGTTTGACTGTTGGATATTCCCCACATCACCTCCCCACCTTCTGGAGACTTTCCCCTCCCCTGGTGTTTTGTGCCTTTATCCCTCTCAGGTACTGCTTAGGATTTAGAGGCAGTGGCCAGAGCTCCTTCCATCTGGGCATGGTCGGCTTCATCCGCCCCCATGCAAGCAGGCATTCCCCCAGGTTTGAACCTTACCCTCTTGTACCCTCCCGCTCACTTAGGGAAGCTTCTCTGCAGCTGAGTCCCAGGCCTCTGGGTCTTCACACAAGGCCACTCGCTTGCTGAAGGGCAGCATCTCAGTCTGGGTTTCCTGCTGTTCACATGTAAAGTCACCCTCCCTTCCCTGTCTCCCCATGACCTCCCACTGTTCCCCAGACCAGCTTTTCTCCCGTTTTTGGAAAGTCTGCTTTCAGAGTGGCTCAAGTTTGAAACCTTCAAATTATCTTTTCTTCTTCTCTCTTTTTTGCCTTTTACCTCCCAATAATCATGTAGCTCCTTCCTTTTCACCCTGGAACAGAGAGCAGACATCCTTTTTCCATTCTTATTCCCTTCATGCCCTGTGCAGGCACTGGTTGCCTCTCGCCTGGATCGCTACCAAAGGAAAGCACGTCTCTAGTCATATCACTTCCTTCCTCACAAACCCTTGTGGACTTTTCATTGCCTATTGAAATAAGCCCAGACATTTACTAAGGGATGTAAGGCCCTCCTCGACATCTCCTCAACCTCCCTTCCAGGCTTAACACCCCTAGAGTCCCTGCCTATGCCTACCTGCACAGCCACTGGGCAATTATTAATACTTCAACCTCTCATATCCTCAGTTTCCTCATCTATAAAATCAGGAAGATAACTAGATAGAATGTCTTTGTGATTGCTGCTAGGCCTGTAATTCCATGTGTGTTTGCCTTGCTATGATTCTGTGAATGTGTTTGTGTGTGTGGTCTGTCATACACACTATTGTTTCCCGTAAATGAAATGACCTCTCCCTCTTAGCTGCCTGTTTTCAAAGCCCAATTCAAATGCCATTTCCTCTTCCATGAGGCCTTTTCTGTGCCCCGCACACAAATGTGACTTCACTCTCTTTGAAATCCCATAAGATATGCTGGCTCCTTTCTTTACTGCTTTCTAACACAACACAGTCCCTGAGCATTTTCCTTAACTTTCTTCCCAGGTGGTAAGTTCCCTGAGGATAGTGGCTGTGTCTTATTTTTTTTTCTTTGAAACCCCAGCTGCTAACAAGTTTCTGTTATTTAGTAGTTGTTTGATAAATACTTAATTGATGAACATAATTATCTCTAAATTATACAACTTATTCACCAAAACTGATATAGAAAATATATATACTATACAAATATAAACTTTACAAAGTAAAATTTCACATCAAGCCCAGAATCTTGTAAAAATATAAAATCATGGATTTTATATTTTTATGATTCATGTAGGATTCAAGCTATATGTTTTGAGGACTGAAATCAAGCCCAGAACTGTACCTTTGATGGAATATCCCCATTAAAACTTAGTTGTTTAGATTTAAGGTTCAATGAACATGAGAATATTAGTGAAAGATGACACAAAATGATAAAGCAATTTTTATTTCCAATGTAGAATGTATTAAACCTATCATAAAATTATTCTATTTTCATGATTTGAACTTTGATTTCTTCCTTGGATAATAATTTAAAAAAACATTTTATTAAGTTTGAAAGAGCACAAATCAGTTCCACGCTTTATGACCAGAAAAATAAATTACCTTGAATTTTATGAAATAAATGTCTACATTTTAGTTATACTCAGGACAGCTAACCTCGCAAAATGTATCTGGCAAATAAAAAGTATCAGTTGTTGTTAGAGTCATTATCATTAACACACATTTGTTATGAATCTGTTGTATGCTTCATACTATTTGTTGAATTGTCATAACCCTATAAGGTATATTCCATTGCCACTTGAACAACACAGGTTTGAACTATGCAGTTTCACTTATACATGGATTTTCTTTTGCCTCTGCCAGCCCTGAGATAGGAAGACCAACCCCTCCCCTCCCTCTTCCTCCTCAACTTACTCAATATGTAGACGACAAGGATCAAGACCTTTATGATATTCTACCTCCACTTAATGAATAGTAAATATAATTTTCTTCCTTATGATTTTTATTAACTTTTTTCTCCAGCTTACTTTATTGTAAGAATACAGTGTATAATAATACATATAACATATAGAATGTGCTAATCAACTGTTTGTATTATCAGTAAGGATTCTGGTCAACAGTATGCTATTAGTAATGAAGTTTTGGGTGAGTCAAATGATATACACAAATTTTGACTGCACAGGAGGTCAGTGCCCCAACCCCTTTGTTCAAGGGTCAACTATGTTATCACTTTTCTTTCACATGAGAAAAATGAACTAATGGACATTAAGTAACTTCCCTGCAGCCATATAGTAAATAATTATGGAGCTAGAATTTAAAACCAGAAAACTCTTATATCATAGTACTTTTTCTTTTTTTTTTTTTTAAAGTTTTTAAGTTTATTATATCATAGTGCTTTTTCTAAGTTTTTTTGTTTATTTGTTTTTTCCTATGGGTAAAGACCATGAGCCATTCATTTTAGGAGACAGCACAAGCTTTTTGTTTCACTTGCCAGTGTGACTGTGAAGTGACATGGCCATGGTCTTCCCATTGCAGATTTTTAAATTTATCTTTGTACCATGTTAATTGGGAGAAATATATTAATGTGTAAAGAAAACAAAGAATATAAAGATGAGAAACTTGAAGAGTAGTGAATATGGCTAATTAAACCTGCTGCAGAATTGAGTTTACCATAAATGCTAACTCAAATACTTTCAAGATTGAGCAATTAGGAACACCACATAAGAACTCAGAATTTATGGACATGAAAAATGAGAGCACCAGCACTGAAACGTGGCCAACACATTCTTCTTTTCTCCTCTCTCCTTCCTACCACCCTTTTCTGATAGTATTTCTAGAAGTGACTGGTAAATAATTACTGTGGTCAAAGAGAAAAATAGGAAAAAAGTAGAACTGGACAAATCAACTTACAAAGCTAAAGGGGAAAATCAAGGTTTGTTGCAATAAACAACTTGCATTTGAAGCAAGAAAACAACAAAATAAGAATTTTGTGGGTATGAATAAAATGTTAAGGGTAAATCAGCCCTCCAATATTTCTTATGATAGCTAACACCATGGTCTAAATAAAACTGCCAATTAGTAACAAGTTTTACTTTTATTAATATTAATAATTGGCCATGTATTAAATAGTCCTACTTTGTGTAGGTTTGGGGGAATTTAACGGAAGGCTGCTATCTTAGTAATTTAGGCTGCTATAATAAAGTATTTTAGCCTATGGACATTTACTTGTCACAGTTCTGGAGTCTGGGAAGTG